CCAATCTCGTGTTGGGTTTTATTTACTAAAGACGAATGGGGGATTTCGCAGCCTGATGTTTTGTTAAATTTGCGTAATCTTTTTCAGATGGGTACCTTTAAGGTTAGACTAAGAAGCTTATGGGTTGCACCGTCCTTAGGAGGTTTCAAGCTGAATTTTGATGGAAGTTCCCTTGGAACCCGGGGGTTGCAGGCACAGGAGGGGTGTTGTGTAATGCATTTAGTGAGGTGATTTTTACCTTTGCAGGGCTGGCTGGTATAGCCACTACAAATCATGGAGAGCTTCTTGCTGCTCTTGAAGGTTTGAAGATCTTTACTGCTATAAACATTGGCAATTCATGTGTAATTCAGGGTGACTCTATGAATATTATTCAATGGAGCAATAGGGAGCATCGGGTTCCATGGGTATTAAGGTCGTGTTGGCTTCAAATCATGGATTTAGTAGGACCATTATCTATCGCCTTTCTTCATGTTTATAGGGAAGCTAACTCTTTGGCAGATTATTTTCCTAAAGGATGTGCATCTCTATCTTCTCTTTTTGTCTCTTCTGATGTAATCTCCATTTCAAAAAGTTCATTAGTTTTGTCAAAAAAATATCTTTCGAAATTTTATTGTCTTCTATTTTAAATTTATCAAAAGAATCGAAAACCATTTCTCGAAAGAAAGCAAAAAAGGGAAAGGTTTTTAAACTTCCCCTACTGCATAGAAGATATATACTATCCCCCATCCAGCCGTTCAATTCAGATTTGGTGAGTCATTGACCGTTTGATCTATATCCGACGCCTCAAAGTATTTTATTGTTAGTTTATGCTAAGAATTATATGAATATGAAATTTGGCATGTGCCATCATTTCAATAGGGCGCACCTAAAAAAAATAGGTACCCAATATTTCCTATAACATACAGTGACTAAAATACCCCTAAAAATATCATGGGTGTTTTAGTTATTTTATTTTATTTGGAATATGTTTTTTATATATATTTTGCAAGTGAGTTTAAGAGAGGAGTGGACACCCAGAATTTGGTGTCAAAATAGTTCTTCGAAAAAAATGAAAAATAAAACAATATAGAGATGTGACATTGTGATTGGGGCCAATCTCAGCCGTCCATTCAGAATCATTGTTCGTAAAACGACCCGATTTAACCGCTAACGGCCGGTTAGATAGGAACTGGCCAATGGCTGGTTCCGGTTTTAGGTGATTAGGGTGATCAACCAACATTTAAAAAAATTAATTTCAAAAAAATGTATATAAATGCTCAAAAATGAGGAATTTGATTTGTAATGTATTTTTAGATATTCTTTACATTATGGTAAGACTAAAAATTTTATATTTTTTTAGAAAATTTTAAAATATCAATTGGAAAATATAAAATGGGTTAAAATCCATTTTATTTCATTAATTTTCAACTTAATTTGAATGTGTTTTAGTTTAATCATTCTTTATAATCTTTTCATATTTTAGTAGTTTTTTTTTTTTTCCAACACTTTTTTGACCGCTTGGGACTTGCCCGGTTAGAGCAGTTGAATCGGCCTGGTTTACCTGTTAGGTCGATTAAACCGCTTCCAAGCCCATGTCCGATTAACCGTTCCGGTTTGATTTTGCGAACACTGTTAAGAACCGATGGTAGTTGGACAATGGAAAGTATATACGTTTTATGCAATAGGGAAATCATAGAAAAGCTTGCTCAATAAAAAATAATACAAGGCTTCACTTCTCAATCTCGCATTTTGCATAGTGAAACCTATTGGCTATATCGCAAATGGCAATAAAAATTATCACACACTTCTTCTGATGATCTGAAAATTTTGGTAATAACATCTAATTTTTTTTGATAATGACATCTACATTAGAAAAAGTTTATATAAATAGTGCATCTTGCAACACTAGACCATCCATTTTCAAGATTTTTATATGTTTATGCATCTATTTGATTTTAACCATTTTTGGAGTTTAAACTTTTATTATTAGATATGAAAATAGATTTTTAGATAACTTAAGAATTTTTTTACATCAAAATTACTTGTTATGATAAAATTTAGAGGTCCACTTTAATTGGATTGTTTAAGGTTGCGACCTTATAGAAACCACACCCATATTTATTTTGATATAGTTTCAGCCCTATCAAAAAAAAATTCCATATAAAATGTTGCATTGTCCTCACATTGCTTGGTTGGCTTGGCGGCACATTTGTAGCATAGGTCCAACCCAAATCTCTATAAATCAACCCATACCAATTTTTATTTTATTTTATTTATTTATTTATTTTTTCACTCTTTTTAAGGATCGTTTTAAAACATAATTTGTCCATAAGGTATCCACATAATGATTTACTCTTAACCCAAAAAGGATATGTATGGTTTCCGTGTTTTGGATTTGTCAACCTGGCCAATTAGAACGTGCACACTACGTTGAAAAAAGAAAAAAGAAAAAAAAGGAAATTACAACATGCACATTTATATCTCAATATTCAACAGCCTCTTTGAGGTTTATTAACTGAAAATGAACTGTGCCTATTACTTTTCTATTTGAGGGTTAAATAATAATCATATCATTCTAAGCTTGAAATCATACTGGGATAAACCACAAAGAAAAATGGGTAATTTGGATTTGATTTTTTTTTGTTTTTTAAAGTTTTTTTTATGGAGAAGGTTTCTATGCTTCCCCTACATCATAAAAGATATATACTTCTCCCTTCATCAAGCCATCCAATTTAGATCAAGTGAGCTATTAACTATTTAATCTAGATCCAATGCCTCAAAGCATTTTATTTTTAAGTGTTTTATACTAACTATATGAATATAAAATTTGGTACATACCATCACCTCAATAGGTCGCGTCTACATAAAATATTAAAATATTTTTTGATAAAATATAATAACCATAATACCCTTGAAACTTTCATAGGCATTTTAGTCATTTTATTTATTGGGAATATGTTTTTTTATCCTTTTTACCGCTGCGAGTTCAGGAGAGTATTGGACACCCAAATTTTGCTATAAAAACATTTTGTAAAAAAAAAATTAAAAATAAACTTGGATAGAGGATAACATTATAATTGGATTCATCTAAGCCATCCATTTAAAATGTACAATTGGATAAAGGGAAGTATTGAAATTTTACGGTGTAGAAGAAGCTTAGAAAGCTTGCATCTCTTTTATATATAGATTTATGAAAAGATTGGTTAGGCAAGTTAAAAGGCACTCTTGCTGTGGGGGTGGAAAGAGAGAGATAGAGACCGTGTGGGGAATTGAGAGAGAGATTAAATGATCATTTTTGCCGAAAGTTATTCGACCTGGGTCGACAAGGGTTGTGATTATATATAAAGAATTGGTCGGAGCACCCCATACCTAGTTACCATATCAAGGTTTTCAATCATGTTGACACCACCCACCGACGCCATAAAAAATGCTGACCCCCTAATCTATATGAAAAAATAGATGCGGCCTGTCTTCGCCCATGGAATTACAAACACCTCCAAAACAAAAAAAACAAAAAAAAAAAAAAAAAAAGAAAGAAAAGAAAAGAAAGAGAGGGACGTCTCCTAAAACATAAAGAACCTCCTTTAATTAAGAGAGAGAAAGGGGAGTATCCTCAAGAGCTTGCTTTATTTAGGACGGCACATTGGTCAATATTTCAAAAGAATAACAAATAAATATACCGAGAGGACCTAATAATTGGGGGCCAGAGAGGCACCAAGGACAGTATAAGAAATAAATAGCACTTATACTATGCTCCCTCGAGAGGGAGCATAATTTACTTCTATTCTCTCAGTATAAGACTTGTTGGGAAAATTTTTTTCAATATGAAATTTTAATAACTACATACCTAGATAATTATTTAAAAAAAACAAATTTGAAAATTAAGTTTTCTAGATCTTAAATCTCACCATCTAAAAATTGGATGACCTTTATTCAATCTCAAGATATTATGTTCTCAAGTAGTGGGTACCATTAGTAAAAAGTTCTATTGAAGTTAATCTATGTATTGAAATGGTTATGTAAAATTTAAAGTCCTAACAAGGTAGAATGTATTTTCAAATTTCAAATTTCTTTTTTGAATAATCACGGTGATTGTGAAGTGGTTACCAAAATTTCAGAGCATAAAAATCCTCCCAAGTAAGGCTTACCAACGAGGAAATATAAATAAATCCCGAGGAAATAGAAATAAACTATGCTCTCGCGGGAGCTCACTGTATTGATCAAAACTCGTGATGCACGCACCCGCACACTTCCTTCCTTTTCCAAGGAAATTCCAAACCTCTCTCCATCTCCGTAACCCCCACACAAAAGCGAACACCTCCTTTGTCTCCGCACAAAAACACCCACCTCTCTTCCCCTCTCTCTTGCCCCACTCAAGATCATCCTGAGGTGACAATGGACCCGGACCCGAACCCGACCTGGACTTGGATCTGGATCTGGACTTGTTGGATATATTTGACATGTGGTTCAGGTATGGGCCTATTTATAGGTCAAGTTCAGGTCTAAATTCTAGATCAAAATACTATTTGGATCTAAGTTTAATTAGAATTTAACTCATGCTCTGGAAATAAAATACTTCAAGCTTTGTTCGTTTGGATGTATTAAGGATAATATAATATAAGAATTCGTAGTCTTTTTTAACTATTAAACCACAAATCCTATAATATGAGTATATGATGGTTAAAAAAGAAAAAAAAAAAAAAACCATAATGAGGGTGATAATGGACCCGAGCAAACCTTGGATCCGAGGGAATAGACTAAGGACCCATGGGTACGGATAACGAGTATGATTCCAACTAAAAAAAAATAACTAGTATGATTCCAACTAAAAAAAAAAAAACTCATAGGAAAGATGACAATGAATCCGATGACGACCAAAGGGATAGACCCAGGACTCGATGGATATGGACATGAGTCCACTTTTGGGTCTAAGTCCAACACCCGAAACCCAAATACTATTTGGGACTCGATCCGGATCCAGCCAACCGTTTGCCGCCCCTAAATGCATCCATCTCTCTCTCGAACCCCCACACGAAAACGCGCATCTCTCTATACTGTAGACCCCACACAAGAGCACCCATCTCTCTCTTGCCTGGAATGTGGATGAAATCAGCTTCGATCGATTTGGCCGGAACATGTTCTTATCTCTCTGTCTATATGTCTATCTGTAACAACCCATCAATCTGCGGTTTTATTTCTCTGCCAATTCATCAACCGAACCCACCATGCAACTCTTTATTGACTTGAGCCCTGCGTTTTCTGAACCTCTCTCCACATCTCCTTTCCCCTAAATCTCCTCCCTTCAATCTACGCCTGAATCTCCTCTCTTCAAGCTACGCCTTTGATCCCTTCCCCGGAATCTCCTCTCTTCAACTTACGCCTTTGATTTGTGATCTGTAAAGGAATAATGGCGGAAGGGAACAATGGCTGATGCCAATTCATCTTGCTTTCTCTCTCTAAGTTCTTCCTGCCATTAATATATGTTGGGTTTTCTCTCTCTTCAATCCTGATACTTGGGTTTGTTATTTGAGGCGAGTCCTGATACTTCATACTATTGGGTTTCTTATTTGGGGCGAAATAGTCCCGTCTGATTTCCTGGAGCTTCTGGACCAGAGTAATATGCTTTCGAATGTGAGTTTCCTGTCTTATTTTGTTTCAGGGTGATCGATGGTTAAAAGATTTATCTCTATTATCAACCATTTTTATGGGTTAAAAGTTTAATTTTTTTATCTCTGTTATCAACTTTTCTACATAATATCTCTCTCTAGGGGGTGGGTTGACTAGTGTTTGTCTCTGGTAATATTTGCATTGTGAGATGATGGTTTGTTATTATCCTTATTTTCTGGAATGGGGATTGTTGCTTGCTATATGGATTTAATTGGGAGATATATCTTCAGAATAGTGGCCTGGTTGAATTGGGGCATGATGATTTGTTTCTGCAATCTGGGCACTTGTGAGCATAATTTGATGGGCCTTCTTTTTTCTTCTCCTTTATTTCAGTTATTGGTCTTTTTAGTTGGCTTATGAATCAATTTATTAAAACATGGTGCTATCAACACCTGGTAATTTTGATGATTTCTTTGATGTTTTCTTGATTTTGTTCCCAATATTGAATGCATATCACCTTGGAGTACCCCATACCGGGAGCTGGGTTGGCTCAATTGAAATAGAATATCGCTTTGAAGCATCAATTTTGAATTATTTCTTGTCGTGTTTGATTTTCTTTTATTCTCATGCAAAGAAATGAGGTTATTTTGGTTTTATTATCGTATGTTTTTTTGTTCATAGTTTAGCTTTTTTAAGACCTTGCAAGTGTCTGTCGCATTTGGAGCTAAGCAATGGATGAGACAATTTCCCATTTTGAGTTATGTAAGATTCTTCAAGAAGAGAGTTGATTTCGTTAATCTAGTGCTGAGTTTAATAGCATGTCTCACAAAATTCACGAGTTTTGTCCCTTGCCACTGATTATGTATATTTCTCCATATGTGTAGTTATCCATCAGATGGGTTGTTCTGATATGTAGTTTACAAACTCGTTCGCAAAGTTTGTCTAACAAGAGGGTCTTATAAGTATAATTTGAAGCATGTAAAAGAAATTCCAAGGGAGGGAATTGAATTTTTTTTTTTTCACCGGTGTGTGGGGAGGGTGGTACAGCCTGAGATTTTGATTGGATATCTGGAGGCCAAGAGGCTTTAAAGTTTAGTTTTTGGATGTACCAAACTTAGGTTAATATCTTGAGGTGATATTTATGGATGGTACGTAGCGGAGGAGGTTTAGGGGTGGATCGGTGCCCTAACTCTAGAAGAAACTGGAAGACAAAGAGGACTGATGAATGAGATATTTTGTTATGGTGCTTGGCATGGAAATATTGAGTGAGACCCCAAGTCCTCTTGTTTGATTGCTTGGTCCCCATTGACAGGATTCTGACAAGAGACACTATTCAGAGAAGAGGATGGTAGGGTCCAAATATTTGTTCCTGCCGTTTGGGAGGTGGAGGAGACTCTGGAGTCTGGAATGCCTGCTATGAACTGTCCCATTGCAAAACCGGATTTGGCATTCTTCCTTGCTGTATTTGAGCTTTCCTTTGATATTGCTTGTATTGATGAATCATCTCACAGGCCATTAGTCCTACGCAAAGATGTTTGAGGTGGCTTATTTTGGAAGATGCCCTCTGGCTGTATTTGGGGTTTTCTAGAAGGAAAGAAATGACAAAATGTTGAAGGTCCCATTTATGAACTACTTAGTCTCAATGATTATATTAGCAAATTCGTGCTCATTTTCCCATCAAAAGTTCTGGGATTTCCTGATGTAAGACTTGGGTTTTGGTACATGTATCTTTCGGGCTAAGCCACTGGAGGCCTTCTATTACTCAATTTGGATGATGTTCACAAGAAGAACCCATTGTAATCTGGCATAATGGTGTTACTCAGGGAGGGCCATGATAAGAACTGAGGTTGAAATGAGAGCTCTTTTGATTGGTCTTCCATTTTCCTTTAACTTTTTCTCAGGCCTGTTGACATTGGAATTGGACTATCTTAAGTTCTTTACATGATTAGATGTGCCTGCACGGGAAATTGCCTTCGACAAGTAGCTAATAAAAAAACTGCAGGCTTACTTGACCAAGGTTAGCTTATGTTTTGCCGGACCCCTCTGGACTTTTACTCTTGACGGACCTTTCTCCTATTCCTTTTTTGTACATCTTTGGAACGGGCAATGTTATAAGCCCCTCTCCTTTTTTGTATAGGCGTACTTGACCAAGGTGAGCTTAGTTTTTGCTGAGAGGCCCAGTATGTGGGCTTGCTCTCTGGACCCTTGTACCTTTCTTCTTTTTCAATACAACAGTTAACAACATCCAAAAAAAAAGAAGAAAATAGGCGAGGGGCAACTATTTGTTGTACCCGTTCTTCCAGAGAAGCTAATTGGAAGGTTGATTCCCTCACTTGTAAGGGAGCACAAGGGCACTCTCTCTTGGTTGTGGTGCCCTTTGTCACTCCCTTATCCTTATTTTCTTATCTACTTTGTTTTTCTTTACTTGTTTATGTTACTGCAGCAACTTGATTACCTTCCTACCTGTCATGTTCTATAAAAGAAAGAAATGGAAAAAGAAACATGCATGCTCGGACTAGAATGATGCATTGAAGATACATTCTTTGTGGGTATGGAGGTATTGCATTTGTCATTATTTAGGACATGTAGTGAATGCTGATACTTTAGGACTTTAGTTACCATTACACTTCTAATGAAAGTGTTTCCTTTTCAAAGCATAAGAAACATGCGGTAAGTTAAAAAAATACAAAGCTAGGATTGTATTCTCAAATTGTAGCTGCAGCTGGCAACATCCTAGATAGCTGACAAGTACATATTCAAAATAGCGTACCTGTGAATACCATGTAAAGGCACACATTGCTGGCCCACCTTATGAATTGATCTTTGACCAACAACTGCCCTCCAAACAACCTTGGAAATCTCTGAGACCAGAATGAAGATGATTGCCTTCTTATCTTTCCTGTTGACTTGTGCCTCCAATCCTGTTGGGTTACCCATAGAACTAATGTCAAAATTTTTCATAAGCCCTCTCTCAAGGTAGGCTTCTCTACCTCTCATTTCTCTTGATATTCATCTCTCCATTTTGCACCTTGTCACAATCCTCATGAAACTGTCAGCTGTATCCCTTCGAATACCTTTATTACTGTCGGTTACAATTATTTATTTTTTCGTTGGCTTCTCTCTCCCCCTTTTGACAAACATTAAAAATTCTCTTCTCACACCTTTCACCCCAATAAATATTAATGAATGATCAGCTGATATAAATGCACTCTGCATCTGTTATAAAATGCCCTAACTTCTCATGAACAAACCAAATTGCAACAGCCTAAGATTTATAAAAGTATAATCATTTTATGTACTGTTTATTGATACATTTGAGATATCTATGTAACAAGAGCTGTGTGAATGCTTCATGAATATTCTGGAATTTAGATGGTCAGCTGAGAATATTTACATTGAGTAACTTTTACGAAAACTTATGTTGTTGGTAATGTTTTTTAAATATGATGAATAGGTTAACAGCATGTAATAAGAACTATATTAAATTGTGCTTATAAGCTTATTCAACTCATGGGTTTGATGATTGGACTATTTTGTAGGTTCTTCTATCTACAACCATGGGGATTGAAGCTTACCAGGACCAGGCAAAGTTATTGGTCAAGCATTATTTACTTGCTGAGCCTTTTATTCCTTATACATCTATCATCGGCTGCATTTTTCTTTGCAAATTGGTGATTCCTCATCTCCTTTTTAACAATAGTCTGAGTTATTGATACCACATGTGTCATGGTTTGAGGAGATTAAGTATTAATCGTGGTTGTAAGCAAAAAGAACCTGCTTAAGTAGTATTCTTTTAGATTTATCCCAAGCGCTGGCACCTCATGGATCTGTAACTGTGGGCAGGTTTGCATGGTATATTTATATGATTCTGCATAGCTTTGTATGTGAAAATAATTCTCAGAGAACATTCATATAATTAGAATTATCTAACAGCAATCAGGTTGTTTATGTCGTGAAATGCCGTTTGGAGCCTAGGATATTTGTGAGATTTAGGTGAAGATAGTATAAGATTGTTCATCTTCTACAATGCTAGCCCTTCTAGGATTTTATATCTACTGCCCCATGTTATCTGAATATTTTTGACAGGCATACCCAACTTGAGGAATCGGTGATCAGTGCATATCTGCATTTTTTTTTTTTAATTTTCTACCATTCCATGTTAAAATTTCCATCCCACTCCATCATTACTCAGTAAACTGAACCTCCACAATAATATTTGGATGTTGGATGGCCAATTTTTCATTGAGAGGGATGTTGGAAGGAGTGGGAAATTATGTTAAATGGCAAGCAAAGCTAAGATGGGGGGTTTGGGTGTAGTTGAGAAGTAGGGCATGGGAAAGGCTTGGGCATCTCTGAGAGTTCTTAGATGGCTTCGAAGGTGGTAAATTGTGTGATTTGTCTTTTATTTTTAGAAGAAAATCTATGACTTATTTAACTCTCTCATATCCAATACCATGGGTTTTTATGTAAAAAATCTGTTGTCCATTAGCTTATAATAAGCATTGCAGTTTTAGTAGTAAATCACACATTGTTGTGTAATTGTATTAGGATAGATGCCATTTGATCGGTGCCTAATGTTTGGGAGGAAATCTTCTAATTTAAGCCACATATATCTTGACACTATAACATATTTATGTGCACCATAAGAGTTTGCTTAGCTAATAGATTATCAACGAAGTCCATCTGGCTGTCTATGGATGTTTGTCTGTGTAGGGTTATTTATATGTATCTTTCATTGTTCTTTTTTTTGTTTTTGATTGGTATCTTTCATTGTCCTGTCAACTAAGGGTATGTCTTCTCCTTTCAGTATAGCATATTTACTTCTGTGATAGAGTTCTTTATGCATCTCATTCTTCTAATAGAAACTCTGAAAAAACCACTTCTTTGTGCTTAGATCCCTTCTTCTTGTAGTCTTGGACTTCTTATGATGTGCTGAACGCATTGCTGTCTCTGTTTATTCAGTTATATGATATCTCTATCGTGGTAACTCCTTGGTACTTTAAGGGTTATGCTGGACTTACAAAGATCCAATGCATCGAATGGAGCAATAGGTGAAACCTCGCTATTTTTCAATAGTAGTTGTATGAGTCTTTCCGATTTCAACATACTTACATTTTGACCTTCTATTTTTACTGCAGGGTAATCTCTACTATTCATGCCATTTTTATCTCAGTTATGTCTCTTTACCTAGTGTTCTTCTCAGATCTATATTCCGATAATCGATCTGGTGACCTAATCACAGTTCGGAGTTCTCCTCTTTCTGATTTTGCAATGGGGGTATGTGTTGTTGCATTTTAGTTAAGTTTGTTTCCCCTAAATCCATTTCAGTTGAGATCAATGGGTTGTCGGAGTCTAAGTTGATAATTACCTGACCCATGGATCCTCAAATGCATGGCATTGCTATACCATACTTTTTTCTTGTTCATATAATCTTGAACATCTAAAACATTGCAGTTAATGGGGTTCCATATAGGCATGTAGTTCACTACATATATATTATACTTATAGATTTTTCTCTTTGTTGCAGGTTTCAGTTGGTTACTTTTTATCTGATCTTGGAATGATTATTTGGTTATATCCTTCTCTAGGTGGCATGGAGTATGTAAGTACATCCTTCTGGTTTTCTATTCATGTTTTGTGTGTGGGGGTAGGAAGATATCAATTCAATAGATCTCTCTCTCTCTCTCTCTCTCTCTCTCTACCCTTAAACCCCCACCCACACATCCCCCTCAAAAACTAAACACATCCCCCTCAAAAACTAAAGTAAAATAAAACATGATCATATTACTTGTCTCTTCTTTTCGATTTTTGGTGGCCATAGCCTAAGCATATTGAATATCAAAATATATGAAGCTTGTAGATGGTAATTATGCTTGTTGCTTGCCTGTCATGTGTTTCAGGTTGTTCATCACTTATTATCAGTGGTTGCAGTAGCCTACTCCTTGCTGTATAGGCAGGGACAAATTTACACGTATATGGTTCTCATTTCTGAGATAACGACACCAGGAGTGAACTTGAGATGGTAAACAGGGTTGAATCAGCCATGTCCCATTCTTAAGCAAACCATATACAGTATTTATTTGGTTTTGACTTGCTATCTTGGTTTCTGAAGGTATCTAGACACTGCTGGAATGAAAAGATCCAAAGCATATCTCATTAATGGAATCATGATGTTTTTTGCATGGCTGGTAAGTTGATATGTTCGCCCTCAACCTGATCCCTATATACTTTGGGAAGTATACAATAGGACCATTTACCTATAGCATGAAAGTGTTACAATTACCCCTAGCTATAAAATGTCAAATTGAGCGGCTGGGGAGGCGGACGGGGTGCACCATTGAATCCTCTCGAAGTTTGTGAAAATTTCCTTGGACTTTGTGTGGAGAAATGGCATGCTCCAGCCATTATGTTACATCTAGTGCCTTGTGGTGTTTGTGACCTTTGTGTAGAAGTCTAAGTCTTATTGTATACAATCCCTAATATATATTAAGCAATTTATTTATGGATGAAGTCTCTTTGAGGCCTAAGCTTTATGAAAACAAAATAAAGCTTCACCTCAAATATAGTCTGAAAAGCACTTTCGGCAACAGAAATCTCCATGATGGCTCTAAAATCAATTTCCAATACTGAAAATAAAATTTGAAACTCAAAGAATAGTACAAATCTCGCAGATCTGTAAGCATTTATTTTTAGGTAAAATAAACGGTCTAGATAATTTGTTGCAATATACACCACTTTTAGAGCTTGAAATCCTAATTTTTTTCACAACCATAAAGTTTTTTTTAAAAAAACTCCTAACCTTGTATTAAGAGTAAGGGTATATGTAGTACAAAAAATGTCTTTAACGTTCAAGCCGAGATGATCGATGTAAAGGTTTTCGAACGCTTGAATTGTAATTTTCGATGAGTTATGAGGTGAGGCTTTACTTATTTTGATAGGGCTGTAGCCCTATCACACCATTTTCCTTTTTATTTATATATAATGTTTTGCGATACACACACATGTGAGTTAAATTTGCAAATACGGTTGATATGAAGGGCAACATGCTACATAGCTTGGGGCGGAAACTCTATTTTCCCAACTCGTTTCTTTCACTTGTATTTTTTGCACTATTTTTCATTTTCACAATTTTTTTGTGAGCTTTTAGTAAGAAACCAAGCAAAGGTGGTCTAGCACTTTGACAATTTCTTCATGAAACTAGTGAATTTCTTTGATGGAGTTCTCTGATTTGTAGGTTGCAAGAATTTTATTGTTTGGCTACTTGTTTTACCACGTTTATCTTCATTATATGCAGGTATAACTCCTCTCTCTCTCTCTCCTTCTCTCTGCACTAAGCAATCTAGCATTTTAATCTCTATATTCATGCTCTTTCAATTGTGAAAGCATATGGTTTTGTTGCATCAATGCGGGGACTCTGGGTCTTCAACCTATTATATTATCATGGCAGGTAAAGCAGATGCCTTACTTTGGTTTCTGCCTTGTCTTTGGAGTACCTTCTATTCTGGCCATCATGAATCTGATGTGGTTTGCGAAGATCTTGAAAGGATTGAAGAAAACATTGACTAAGAGGCATTAAAGACATTTTCCTTCTGTTACCCTGATATCTTTTTCCTCCCCCTGTTTGCATCTCACATGCCTTCCCTTGTATAGGAATATCCTGTTCATTCTCTTTACTCTCTTATGTACAGAGAAATTGCTCTCTCTCTCTCTC